AATCTATTTTTGTATTAATTTTACAATTATATTATTTCAACTTTTTATATCAATTTTTATTAGAATCCACTAAGAAAACATTAGGTTAATTATAAAATCACATTTTTTTTTACCTAAAAGAAGTAATTTAGATAGAAATATGGATGAAAAGTCTTAAAAATAGATGGAAATTATTAATTGAGAATATTTGAAAATTTAAGAAAAAATTGATGAAAAAATTATTTAATGATAAAGCTGAGAATACCTATTTAGATGATATTTTTTAATTTATCTATATTTGTTTTTTAATTTTTTTAAACTAACAGGTCACGTGGGTCTTATTTTATTTTATTTGATATAAAACTTTCGGTGAATTAATAAGAAATCTAAACGGCCTTGTGAAAACCTATTCATGCAAACACAAGTTGGAGTTGCAAAATGAATTGGTTTTTAACCGTTCCTTTTTTTTTTATTTAATCCTTTAATATTATATTTAAAAAAAAATAAATTTTATAATTTATTTTAATTTATTCCTACAAAATTATTATAATCTCAGTAAAAAAATCTTGAAATTTAGTTCATTCTTGATTTTACAAAAATTATAATGATTTTCATCATTTGCAATAAATAAAAAATTAAAAGGGAAAAAGAAAGAATAAATGATGGATCCTATTTTAAATATAGTTATCAAATCCTATTTAGGGTTGCCCAATTAAGAAGCCAGGTCTTGAATTATATAAATCGATCAGAAACAACTTAAATTAACCTAAAAAATTTTAAAAATTAGATTTTAATATTACATATAAAAAAATTAAGAAATAATCCATGTAATATAGACTATACATATTATAAATAATAAAGTTTAAAATATTATATAAAAAAAAATTTATTTTACATTGAAAAGATATAAAAAAAAAATTTATTTTACATTGAAAAGATATAATTTTATCCATTTAAATTAAATATTTTAACCAAATTTTTTAATCTTATATTAAAAAAATATAACCTTGTTTTCATAAATATAATATATATATATATATATATATATATATTAAAAGATTCAGATCTCACATTAAAAAAATTACACATTCCTCCAGTATTATTTTCAATATCATAAATTACTTCATCTATCATTTTTTGTACACTATTACTAGAAAATTTTTACCTCTTAGTAGATTGATCCGGCTTGATTGGATTAGTTGGGTCCAGTGAAGTTATAAATAACTAAATTTAAATAAAAAAATATGAATAATTTATTTTTGTAAAATTTTTCATACGCAATTTAAAATATTATACAATATTTGCTTACTAAAATAGCTGTTGAGTTATGACTATTGAGTGAGTGATAACGAAGAATTCATATAATTTTTAAAGATTAATAATTTTAGACAAATGAATGATTTTTTCAAAAACTATATAGGCAACCAACATGGTATTATTTACAACTAAGAAAATTATTACTAAAGATTGTATTGTGTTGGATTAATCTTCTACATCCCATTATATACAAGGTAGTTCAATTTTGATCATTCAAATGTTTATAGATTTCTTAATTTGATTATAATAATATTATGAACTATAGATAATGTGTATAAATCGTGTATCATGCCAATAAATGTAATTTTTATGTGATGAAACTATTCTAATTAATCCATTTAATGTTACCAATGTTAATCTTAGTGCATGGCTGTGTTTATGTATTTGCAAAATAATTTACTCAACTCTCAATACATTTAACATTAGACTTCAACAACAAACTGATTTCACATGCTATCATCCCTCTAGTGTAACCAAAGTCCATTGTCTAAGCCAAGGTGGTGCCAATCATCAACCGACTGCTAGCAGGCGGTAAAATTTTAAATTTATTTTTTAATAATCATGAATTTAAATTTTTTCTAATTTACTAGAAGTTTATATAATCATTAACTTCAGAATTTATGAAATTAATAGAGTTACATGCAAGTTAATCCACACATTCATGTTAATAGAAAAACTAATAAAAAATATGATATTATATTTGCATGCTGTCACCGTTCATATGTGATGCAATTGTCTAATAGTGTCTCGTTAGATAGGCCCTCATAAATATACTTTTAATACTACCCTACTATATTAAGATTCTATTTATTTTTTTGTTTTAAAAATGTTTTTGAAAAAAATTAAAATTTTTATTTTTTTCTTTACTTCAAATTAATATTTTTTGATGTTTTCAAATCATTTCAATATGCTGATTTCAAAAATAATTTTTAAAAAATAAAAAATATATATTATTTTGGTATATTTCAAAAAAAAAACACTTTGTAAAGCAATTGCAATTACACTTTTAAACATCCCCTAAAACACCAGGGAAAACATTGAAACTTTTTTTTCCTTTCAATTTCAATTTTCTTTTTAAAAGTTTCATCCTCAAAATTCTTTTGACAATTATCCATGCTGTTTTGGGACCAACCAAGTCAATGAAATCATGTCATAGTAACTCTCACATAATTCAATTTTAAACTCTGGTTAGGCAAAAAGTTGAGGTGAGGTGTTTTTGAATTGGTCAAATCAATTGGTTCACTTTAAAACAACTTCCACATTGTTTAATTTTAAATCTACATTGGGCAAGAAGTTTGGTCGAGTGTTTTTTTTCATCAATTTTATCTCCAAATATTTTTTATCAATTGAGCAGATTGCATGTGGACTAATCAAGTCAACCAAGTCATATCAGAGTAACTCTCACGTACTTTTATTTTAAAGTAGGATGGTAAAGAAGTTTTGTTGATAGTTTTTTTCTTTTTCTTTTATTATTTTTTTAATTTTATCCTTAAATTTGTTTTTTATCAATTGATCAAATTGTTTTTCAATAGACTAAATTGACTGAATTATATTATATCAACTTTTACATTATTTAATTTTAAATCCAGGCTAAATAGAAAATCAAATTGAAAAGTTTTAAAATTGACCCTCAAATAATTCTCTATTGGGCCAGATATTTTTTATTACATTCAATAATTTTTTGTACGACCCACGTAGTATTTAGATCATGTAAACTTTACATCCTACATTGACAAGTAATTATCCTCAAAGCATTAGAGCTCATACACAAGATATCCTAAAACCTCAGAAGCAACAGACTTGTGCCAAGAACAAATGCAGATTGTATTTCCACATGATGCAGCATGAACCTAATTGAGGAGCATCTGATGAAACTGCCATACTCCTGCAAGCCCACAGATACTTGTCTTGCACCCCAAAATTATAAGTAAATGGAGAATGGAAGAGTAAGTGGACCAGCTTAGGTGGATTAAGATGTACAGTTTCTTAACCATATAAAGCTTGAAGCTGCATATCAATTTGCTTTAAATGTTAAGGCCTAATCGAAGCAAAGAACAAGCAAAAGGATTCATAGCGTTGAATTCTCAAATACCACAGAAGAATTAAATGAATTGAGAGATGATAAAGTTAGAAAGTATCTTGTATAGCGTCCAGTTTCTTTGTTATAACTGTCCAAAAATGGGTTTTTTAGACAATACAAGTGAGCTGAAACAAGATTGCCAATTTGGATGCCTTCCCTCAATATAGCACACCAGTGCATAGTAGTTGTTCTGCGTTAGAGGATGAATGAGTAAGTGTAATGTCAAATAATTATCTGGAAATGATTTTGCTTTTGTATACTTTTGCCTAATTATACAGTGATTCTAGCTACGGAAGAATAGAGAGGTGCTCCTACCATATCATCGATGGCGCAGGCTTTCATTGCTCTCAGAACATGTTCATCATGACCATTATGCAAATTTTGGGAAATTCAGTGCTGCTTAAGAGAAGTTAATACTAGAAAAGAAGAAAGTGCAAAATTTGCAAGACCCTTTATCAATATTAATCTGGCATTAGCTAGGCCAGAAATTACCTGTTGCAATTCAATGGAATGACTGTGAAGGCTTAACACAGACTGAAAAAACACATAAAAACTTAATAAATCACAGCTACTACTGAGTTAAATATGTGTTGGTATAATTCGATCTCTTTTTTCCGAGTTCAAGACTCAACAAGGTCAGAGGAAAAAAGAGAAAATGGGCCCTCGTTGTAAGGAATTGAGTCATCATGGTGAGTCCACAAACACCAAAGCGAAGCCTTCACTTTTCTAGTATTCCATTCTCCTGTTTGAAATACTGCAGGATCTTGCAGCTTTTGGCTCATTAACAGCCACAACAATTCTGCTTATAACCCAACCTTTCATTTTACATAATCTTCAAGGCTCAATCCATTGAGCCTTAAAACAAGTTTCTCAAGCTGCATATTTTCAAATTCTAGTCAGATGGTATAGAGTTGCAAACTGAATTAATGGGATTTTCCTTCTGCAATGAATTGTTCACCAGAGGAAGCGATTTTTAAGGCATTTTAGTCCCCTTTATAAGCCTTGCATGCATAGCTTACGAGATTGTCAGCCTTGCATCCCTGTAGAGTTTAAAATTACTTGGACTATTAGAGGCTCAAAATTATAAAAAAAGTGTCTTTGTCCAATATCTGTTCTTCATCTGAAGTCCTCAGAGGACCTTCCAGCTCACAAACAAAAATTATTAAATCCTTTAATCTTTCAGACATGATAGATGTTTGTAAGATATGCATGTTAACAACAGGCAACAAAAGAATCAGGATTAATCAGCTTGATTGGCTCTCCAAATCGCTTGTTTCGTGACAAACAGAAATCAAAGCAAAAAGGCATGGTGAATCTGTAAAACGAAACAGTGTAGGAAATAGAATCTGATGCACATTATTTACACCGGGACATGTTTGCCAATAATAAGTATATAGTTACTAAGGTTTATTTTAACTCAGGAATCAGGACATCATCAGCAGAAAACATGCATGGCTACTCCACATAGAAAACTGATGGCGATCAATTGCTAAGGTTGGTCATATGCAATCTTAACTGATCCGCATAGTACTTATTGATCGAACCCTACAACAAGAATAAAAAGAAAAAACCTTAAATTCCCCAACCAGAATATTCTAAAACGATTTTATTAAAGAAATTAACATCAATTGAATAACCATGAATTCTCCTTGAGAATTTCTTCCTTTTCCTCTGGCGTAAAATCGTTCTTGATATTAAAGAGTTCGCGAATTCTAATAGGTTGATTCGTTGTGATCATGTTTGCAACTTTTTGTGTAAGTTGACCTAGCAAAACTTCAATGCTGAGATAGTTTGAAGCTAGGAGAAGATCATAGAGAAAATCTGTGTCAACATCTAAAAAATCAGCATCCCACTTATCAATCTCATCCTTAGATGCATCGCTCGCATGCTTCTTCAACCACTCCACAATCTTGGCTAGGGTTTTCTTTTCTACATTGAAGAGTGGAATCGCATCATCAGTACTATGGCCATCTTCAACCATCCTCTTGATGATTTCAGATTGTAAGGCAGCCTTCTCTTCCACCTCAACAACTTCATTGTCACTGGTTTTCAACTTCAAAACCTTAGTCGTAGTCTCTGAACATGCCATGATGTATGACAAGTAGTAATGTTAGTCCAAAGAAACCTAATGAAAAACCAGAAGACCGATAACAAAGAACTACTCGTTAAGAGATTGCAGAGTATGAATGATTGAGAATTTTACAGAAGAAACGTCACGAGGTCAGGGTATATATAGGATTTAGGGCATGTTACTCCCACTCTGGAATAGGATTATTTCTAATCCAAAACAAATAAGGACTCAGATTATATTTTTTTCCAAAACAAATAAGTTATCATAGGAAAAATTGGACAAGTAACCTAAATAGTAAACTTTGCACGTTATTGTCGAGAATCGCGACATTTAAATATTGTGTCTCACAATTATAATATTTAAATTAATATTGTGATTAGAAATCATGATAAAATTTTAATTAATTCATTAATTCAAAGTCATGATATCAATTATATTTTTGTGTGCACCGAACGGTATGATATATATATATATATATATATATGTCCTTAAAGTCATAAAATAGGAAAAACCAATTTATTAAATCTTTTCATCTTTCACCTCAATAATCTGTCACAATCATGCAGTGAATTGCTAATACAGAACATGTTGTGTATCAATAGGACAATCATGGCCTTGTGGAGAACAAAAACAATGATCACTGAGCATAAAGCACAAATTGCTGAAGAGAAACAAGACCGCTCAGAAAAAGGGTCCATTATGCCTGAAGACCGTGGATGCTTTATAGATGCTGAAGAAGTAAAGATGTCCAAGATTTTATACGTTGAACCTTCTATTAGCGTAAGCAATCAATTCCAGTCCCATTCACCTCTCCATTATTTCATTTGTAACTATTCAATCAAGTACTAGAGTGCTTAACTAGAAATTAGGAGTTACAGGTGGAAAATAAACAACAGATGAGGATTATGTGGCTTCTCATGTTACATTTGCTTGCAATGTAGACGACGAGGGTGGTACACTAAAGTTTTTGTGTGCCTCGTAAGCCTCGGATTAGGACACTATGTCTATAGTACATCTGATCTGATGACTAAGACTTGACATTCAAGCCTTATAATGATAATTCTGCATATGCCTTGAGCATAAGACTTTGACAACCCATCCCTGTTGTGCTTCCCCCATACAATTCGTTAGTTCTTGAGGAGTTTTGATGTTGTTGCTGTCTGATATAGCTATGGTGCATATATAATGATGTGTACAGTTTGTTTAGCTACTTTTCATACTGATGCTGAAAAAGCTGTGGTGACGTTACCAGGTAGAATCAATGAAGGAGCACAAAATCATATTATCTGGATGTCGTAGTTATGCAACTACAGCATGGGGATCCACAAAACCTTGAGTTTTTTTAACGAAGTCTTTCGTATCGATTCAAACTGCATATTTCAATATTTGCAGGGGAATTAGTCACTTGCACACAACATAAATCTCCGCTTGTAAATGATAAGGTGTGGATTGTTAATGATCTCATGGTGCTGCATGATATCCCATTTTCAGACCACTTACATGTAAGTAACAATTTGACGCCTCTATATCATACGTTAATTTTTTACAGGAGTCATTTATTGTTCAAGTTTTCTTCTTGAATATATTTTCCTCGCTCGTTGTGAATGCAAGTATAGTGTTTTGGTGCAAGTCTAATGGGGAGAGCACCTACAAGCACTAAATCCAGAGAAATGGGGTCTTATGGATTGGTTATGAACCAGTCCAGGATTCACCAAGTGTGAGAAAATGAACTCAAAGGAAGAGAGAGGGATGAGAATAGAGAGATCAAGAATAATTGCCACAATCAAGATGATCATTCTATGTATTGTCAGCAGTATAAATATTGGTATATGGATTAGACTTTCTCAAGTCCATTTATAGAAACTCGGCAATATAAAATAAGTCCAATCAATTACATGTATTATAGAAGGATTGTCAATTTATCATTCTGACTGATGATTGCCGTTGCTTATGATTAGAATGTTAATTTCTAAGGCTGATGTAATGAGATCAGCGAATTGCATGGGACTGACAGATTAGATAAGATTTGTTGGTGTAGTATTCTCTTTACTAAGAAGGTTACAACATCAACGGTTGAACTGAATAGAAAAAGAAAGAAGGAAGGGAAGAGCAGAGAGTGTAATTTTGTCTTGTTAATTCTCATATTCATATCCAGCATGTAATTCTGTTATGAACACCTTCCCTGTACAGTCACTGTTACAGATTCTTCCTTCTTAACTGGAACCAACAATCTGAGGATGCGTGGCTAACTAAAACAGATTCAATAACGAAAGAAAACAAGCAAAAAGTAAAGAAAAATGAAAGGTGCCTATTACAGGCTTAACATCAGTTTCAAAACGCCCTGTATCAGCTCCCGTATCAACAGCAAGTTGGATTTAAATCTCTTCTGGATCTTCACTTTATCAATCCCCTCCCCATCAACGCCCTTGTCCTTAAGGAAAACTGTGGAAACCTCAACGCAAGATTCTCTGCAAAATCCCATGTAGCTTCTGCAGAAGACAAACTTTTCCATAGAACCAGGACCTGGGTAACAGCAAACGCTTAACAATCCTTTTAACTGTTGGTGGGAGAAATTACTAGTGGTTTATAAAAAACACTGTTTATTTCAATAACAACAAACTTACAATTAATTAAACAAAAGCTCATTTGCCTTTTCTCTCTCTTTCTTTTTCTCTAGTGTTTCTCTCAAATCTCTCTACTTAACTGTTGGTGGGAGAAATTACTAGTGGTTTATAAAAAACACTGTTTATTTCAATAACAACAAACTTATAATTAATTAAACAAAAGCTCATTACATGCCCTTTCTCTCTTTTTCTTTCTCTCTAGTGTTTCTCTCAAATCTCTCTACACATAATTGTATAAACTTAGCTGTTTATTTATACACAAATTAAAAGTAAGAAAAAATTAAACTTCAAGTGTGAAGGCGGCTAGCGGCATACAGTTGGTGGCTGACGGCTAGGTAGCTGGTGGCTGCAAGTGGTGGTTGTCTTCCTTGACCTTGTAGATTAAGGTTACCATAACAAATTTCCCCTTTAAACTCAATCGAGGGATGCCATGTCAAGCATAAACTTCAATCTAATAAATATTTTCCTTTTTAATAGCTTTGTAAAGATATCTGCAACTTGAACATTTGTTTTGCAGGATATCAGTTTGACTTCTTTGTTCTTTACATACTCTCAGATAAAATGATGATGTGTATCAATATATTTACTTCTTTGATGATACACCGGGTTCTTTGCCAATACAATTGCTGATCGATTATCAATATACATCTCTGTAGGATTTTCTTGAGGAAATCTAAAATGCTTCAGCATATTCCTTAACCATATCAAATGGTATACAGCTGAGTTGGCAGCAACATACTCAGTTTTACAACTTGATAATATTACTATCAATTGCTTCTTGGATGACCATGTGAAAGATGTATCTCCCATGAAAAAGACAAACCCTGTTGTGCCTTTTCTTTCATCTAAATCTCTACCACAATCACTATCCAAGTAGCCAGAAAGATTGAAATTTGTACTTGAGGTATAAAACATACTTTCATTTATTATGCTTTTGATGTAGCAAAGAATTCTCTTCGCTACATTCAAGTGAGACTTGTCTGGTGTCTTCATATATCTGTTGATAAGTTCGACTCCATAGAGTATATCCGGCCTGATACATGTTAATTACCTTAAGCTTCCTACTAAGCTTTTGAAGTAAGTTGGATCAACATTTCCAACTTTACTCTTCTTCAATTCCACTCCATTCTCAACTGGAGTTGATACCGGGTCACAGCTTTCCATCTTGAACCTTTGAAGAATATCTTTGGCATAACTGCTTTGGGATACAAAAATCCCTTCTTCTTTCTACACCACTTCTAAGCCAAGAAAATATGCTATCAGACCAATATCTGTCATCTCAAACTCCTGTACATGCTTTTCTTGAAGTCTTCAAACATGGTAGGTTTATTGTTGGTGAATATCAAGTTATCAACATATAGGCAAGCAAATAATATGATGTCATCTACTTCTTTCTTCACATATATTACGTGTTCATATGGATATTTTTCAAATCCATTATCTTAAAAATACTTGTCAATTCTGGTATTCCAAGCATGCAAAACTTGCTTCAAACCATAGATGGCTTTCTTCAACTTGTATACTTTGCCTTGAAACTTGCGGCTTTCTTCAACTTGTATACTTTGCCTTCATTTTTAACTTCAATGTATCCAAATAGTTGTTCAACATAAATTTCTTTTTTTAGGAAGCCATTCAGAAACGTTGACTTCAAATTGAGTTGATAGATCTTTCATCTATGTTATGCAGCTAGTGAGATCATCAGTCTGATTGTCTCTAGTTGAGCTATAGTGGTAGAATCTTCAGATGGCGCGTGTGGGCTACCTCCTTCTCTGATGAAGATGATTTTTGCACTAGTGAGTTCATATGGATGATCCCTACACTATGGAATGATCAAAAATTACTTTTGACAACTTTGAAAAATTAGATATATCTCAAAACCTCTTCTGTTTTTGGACGAACAGGGCTCTAATACCAATTGTTAGTGGGAGAAACCATTGATGAAGGTTTTGAAACACTCTGAGGGGATAAAACACACTATTTATTTCAAGAACAACAAGCTTACAATTAATTAAACAAAAGCTCAATACACGCCCTCTCTTTCTCTCTCTTTCTCTTTCTCTTTCTCTTTCTCTCTAGTGTTTCTCTCAAATCTCTTCACATATAATTGTATAAACTTAGCTACCTATTTATACACAAATTAAAAGTAAGAAAAAATCAAACTTCGAGTGTGAAGACGGCTGGCAGCATACAACTGGTGGCTGGGCGGCTGGGCGGTGATAGCTAGTGGCTACAAGTGGTGGTTGGTGGTTGCCTTCCTTGACCTTCTAGATTGAGGTTACCATAACACTTACACTGCCTGTGGTAGAAGCAAAAGCTCCTTCAGCATCACATGTAATTCCCCTTGTATCTTCCTATTTCCCACATGTTTTTTAAGTTGAGACACATGGAAAACTA